CGGCGCCCGCGCGGCCCGCGGCGCGGCGGCCCATCGTGAAGAAGAAGCGCGCGAAGAAGGTCGGCTACGCGCGCGAGGACGACGAGCCCGCGGCCGCGGCCGCGCCGGCCGCGGCGCCGGCCGCGGCGCCGGCGCCGCCGCCCGCGGACGCGGGCCTCTCCGCGGAGCAGAGCGCCTGGCTCGCGGAGCGGGAGCCGTCGCCGAAGAGCGAGAAGCCGCCGCTCGACCTGCCCGGCGACTACGGCGGGACCGGCGAGCCGCCCGCGCCCGCGCCCGCGCCGCCGCCCGCGCCGCCGCCGGCGCCCGACGGCGAGAAGAAGAAGGGCGGCGTGCTGTCGACGGCGTCGCGCGTCCTCTTCGGGAAGAAGAAGGCGAAGAAGGCCGAGGGGTCGCCGAAGGAGGGCGACGAGTCGCCGCCCGCGGCGGCGACCCCCGCGCCCGCGGAGCCCGAGGCCGAGGCCGAGCCCGAGGCCGCCGACGAGCCCGCGGAGGAGGAGGAGGAGGGCGAGGAGGACGAGGAGGAGGAGGAGAACGACGACGGCAGCGAGGACAGCGGCCTGGGCGAGGACTTGGAGACGCAGGTCCTCGCGGCGATGGCCAACGGCGGCGCGCGAGAGCCGTCGCCGGAGCCCGAGCCGCCCGCGCCGGACGAGGAGCTCGCCGAGCGCCTCGACGCCTTCGTCACGGCGACGACGGACCTCTGCTTCCGCCTCGGCGAGCACGAGCGGCGCGCGGGCGAGGCGTGCCGCGAGCGCCTCGCGCTGTCCTGTGTGGAATTCAACCACTGGTTTGGGTGGTCCTGACCAAACTTCAGAATTCTCTAGCTCGATCAAATCGAAGTCGATTCGGCTGATTTTTGGACGAATCGATTGCTCTCGTCGAGTTCTCGAAGCACAGCCTAAGAGCTTGCGTCAAAACTGTCGCATACGCTCACATTGAAGTCGGGTTGAAGATTTGAATTCCACACAGGCGCTGTCCGCGGAGCAGCGGTCGTTCGAGGAGTCGCTCGACCGGTCCCTCCGGGAGCAGGCGCGCCTCGCGGAGCTCGAGGACTACGAGGCCGCCGACGCCATGTCCGTCGAGGTCGAGACCATGAAGCGCGAGATGGCGCTCCGGAGCGGCAAGCTCCGGGATTTATGCGTGGAGGTCGACCGCGCGGAGCGCGAGGTCGGCGGCCGCCGCGCGGAGCAGCGCCGGGCCGTCGAGGGCGTCGTCGCCTGGCTCGAGGCCTTCGAGCGGGAGACGCGGGACGCGCTGGCCGCGCAGACGCGCGACGCCGACGCGAAGCAGGCGGCTTTACGCCAGCGCGTCGCCGCGGAGGGCGAGCGGCTCGCGATGGAGAAGGCGCACGTCGAGCGCGACGCGGCGCACGTCGCCGACGAGTTCGAGCGCATGGAGGCCCTCATCGAGGCGCAGACGTCGGGCGACGCGGCGCGGCGCCACGCCCTGTCGCTCGAGAAGGAGCGCAAGGACGCGGAGCTCGAAGAACTCCAACGGCGGCTCGCGGTGCTCTCCGCGGAGCGCGACGCGGTGAGCGCGGAGCTCGGCGACTGCGACGACAAGATCCAGCTCGCGCGGTCCAAGTTCGAGCGCCAGCTGACGCGCCTCGCGCAGCGCGACGACATGGTCAAGGCGTCGGCCGCGGACTGCGACCGCGAACTGGCGGCTTTGGACGTCGAGACGCGGCGCTGCGACGACCTCGAGGCGGAGACGGCGGCGCAGCTCGACGGCGTCGCGCGGGTCTGCGACGACGCGCGCGACGAACTGGTCGTCGCCGCGCGGCTGCGGGACGCGGACGCGGTCTGGGCGGGCGCGGCGCTCGACGTGGGCGGCGAGTCGTCGGAGCTCCACGAGCTGCGCGTCGCCGTCGCGGAGGCCGAGGCGCTCGTCCACGACGCGTCGACGGCGCGGGCCGGCCTCGCCGACGACGCGACGCGCCACGGCGACACGGTGAAGCGCGTCGAGGAGAAGCTGCCCGCGTTGGACGTGGCGAAGAAGGCGGCCGCGGCCGCGCGGAACTACAAGGAGGCCGGCGCGCTCGCCAAGGAGGCCAAGGCGCTGGAGGCGCAGCGGGAGGACGCGCAGCGGGACCTGGCGGCTTTAGACGGGCCCCTGGCGGCGGCGGACGAGGCGCTCGGCGCCGCGCGCGCCGCGCACGCGGCCGCGGCGGAGGGGCTGGAGGCGCGGGAACGCGACGACGAGGTCGCGACGCTGCGGGCGCTGCGGGCCAAGGCGTCGGACCTGCGCCGCGCGAAGCGGTCCTTCGCCGAGCCCCGGGCGAAGGCGCAGCTGCGGCTCACGGCCGCGGCCGTCGCGCTCGTGCAGGTCGAGCTCGCGACGGTGTCCGCGCGCGCGGACGACCTCCGCGGCAAGCGGGGCCTCGAGGCCTACGACGACGACGGCGACGACGACGACGACGACGACGAGGCGCCGGAGCCCGCGGCGAAGGTCGCGCCGCCGCCGGAGGAGCCGGCGGACGACGCGGGCGCGGGCGACGCGGGCGACGCGCCCGCCGAGGACGCCGGGGACGCCGCGCCCGCCGCCGGGGACGCCGACGACGCCGCGGCGCCCGCCGAGGCCGCCGACGACGCCGCGGCGCCCGCCGAGGCCGCCGACGACGCCGCGGCCGAGGAGGCCGCCGCGGCCG